GGGGGGGGGTGTACTCATAGTCGTGCATGCCGTAGTCGTTAGACCATTGACCTCGCATCCCTACAAAGCCGGGACGGAGCACGCCGGGTTCTCACCGGACCAGGCTCTCACATCACCAAGCCCGAAGCGCCGTGAGGTATTCGGCGAGTCGCATGGAGGATGCGCTGCATCCTGCTAAGGGTGTTCGGCATCCTCTGGTGCTTTCACTTCCGGAGACAGTTGTAAGCGCTGTGTAACTGCCTCAAGGGTGCTTGACCAATTTTTTCACAACGTGCGATTATCTCCTTTGCGTGGAGTGAGGTTTCTCGACTCCGCACAACATAGTCTACTCGACCACCATTCATGGTTACAGCAAAAAATAAAAAAACAAAGGTAAAAAAAATGCGGTAACCTGGTTGCTGAACTCACGAAGTGAATTGGCTTGTTTTACGGCATCACTGCCAAGCGACGACAACCCAACCCCGATGGCAAACACCGGGGGGGGGGCGTTTGGGGGGGGGAGGGACTGTCGGACGCGCTGTGAAAGCGCGGCGGTTTTGGTCAGGGTGGTGTTGATAGGTTCTTCAAAACTTCGCGCCGCCATCGCAGGGGTAGCTAGCCCAAACAGACCTTTGAGGAATTCGGCGTATTGGAGTGGATGAAGACGAGCGAAGGTCGAGGGGTAGTGGAGGGCTTGCTTACTTCACGCGAATGCTTGCTCGTGTGTTCAGCGGTGTTTGAAAAGGAAAACGAAGGGTATAGGGTGATGAAAACCTAGCGCGTGACGGTTCTCGTGGGGCCGCGGGGCCGCCATGCTATCGTACACAGACGACATTTTCGACGAATCACTGGCAGTGAGGATGTTGGCAAGTTCAAAGCAGACGGCGAAGGGAGGCAATCAAGCCTACCCCAAGGATAGCCTTGATCCTAATACCCGCTGATCACGCTCTCCCCTCCCCCCACTGCTGCTACCCTTGTTTGTCCTTGCTACACCCTCACTCCCCTCCCCCCCCCCTCTGCAGGACAAACAGCTGGAGAGCGGCAAGACCCTGAGGGAGTCCGGCATCCCACCAGGCAGGGTCGACCTCCGCCTCGACGTGAAGGGCGGGAGCGGCGGCGGCGGCGACTGCGCTTCGGGCGCACCGATAACCCTCAAGCTCCGCGTGGAAGGCGGCAAGGCGTTCATGGTCACCACCACCACGGTAAGCCAGGAGGCGTTTCGGGTTTTGTAAGTGAGCCAGAATTTTTGTTTTGTTTTTGGTATCATAGTTGGTACGGCAGTACCGCGGATGTGTGGTTGTGCGTTGATGTGATGTTTGCTTCCGTGGGTTTCCTCTGCAGCCTCCGCGCCATTTAATCCCCCCCTTGTCACGTGAAAATCGACCCCCGCTGCCCCTCCATACGATACCGTATGGAGAAATGGGCTGTGAAAACAGCTGTCCAAGTACGGGATCAAGGGGAAAATGTGGAGAGTGCTGAAGGAGATGGCAGAGTGTACGAAAAGCGCGGTCATGCTAGACGGAGAACTGTCTAAATTCTTCGACATTGTGCAGGGGGTCCCACAAGGTTGCACGCTGTCCCCAACATTGTTCCAGGTGTTCATCAACGATCTGTTGGAAGTCGTAGAGGCAGTCCGGAAGGGAGTAAAAGTAGGGGACACGGAAACGTCGGTTTCAGGAATGCTGTTTGCGGATGATTTTGTCGGTATGTTGGACACCCCTGCGGGACTGCAGCTGCAAATTGACACGGCGAAGGAGTTTACTGATAAGTGCATATTGTCTGCCAACGTTAACAAGAGTGCAGTCATGGTATGCAACGAGAACAAGGAGGAACCAGTAGCACATAGATGATGTGGGGGATTGAGGAGATTGCCGTAGTGGACCAGTACACATACCTGGGAGAAGCGATCGCAAAAGACTGCTCGTGGAATGCACACATGTCCAAGGTAGCGGAAAAGGGCAAAGCACGAGCAGGGAAGCTGCACCCAATACTCGCAAACCGGCACCTCGATACACGCATCAAATTGACGGTTTTGAAGAGCGTAATCGTACCGCCGCTAGAGTACGCCGGAGAAGTATGGGAAGGAAATAAGAAGGTAGTGAAAGAACTCGAGGCGGCGCAGATGAAAGCAGCGAAAACCATCCTAGGATGCTCCAGGCGCACAAGTAATGCAGCCGTGAGGGCAGAATTGGGGATCCAATCCCTACGGTCGGGAAGAGACGCGAGGAAGCTGACTTGGCAGTATCGCATGTACGGAATGGGAGAGGAGAGGTTGCCGAGAATTGTATGGGAGGCGAAGTGGGCAAACAAAAAGAGGGGTAGACAACCCACGGAATGGGTCAAGGTTGTAGAGGACGTATGGAAGGGGCTCGACATCGACGAAGATGAAACGCTGGAAACGGAGGGTCTACAGGGGTTCAAGGAGAAGATATCTGTTGCTTGTGCCGAGAGAGAAGAACAGAATCTGAGGAAAGAATCCAAGGATAAGGAGGGTCTAGGAGTGTACGGAATGTTGAAGGAAGGAATAGGATTCAAGGACTACCTATATGGAGCAATGGATGCAGGGACAACGCTTAAGGCCAATTCAGGACCGGGGACATAGGCCTTCAAGAACGTCGACGAAGACATAAGGCAGTAGACGAGGAAGACGACGACTTCAAATGTGATTGCGGCTTCGAATGCGAAGACCGTGTTCATGTAGTCGCGGAATGTCCGTTGTACAAGAAGGAGAGGGAAGTGTACGTGACTGAGCTGGGAAAAATAGATGGAACGTACAGGGAGATGTTTGAGGCATGGAATAGAGAGGAAAGGACGGTAGTTGTGCTGACTGGGGCATAGGAGGTGGGTTGAAAAGGCGGGAAGTGATATCGTTAGGATAGACAGACTAGAGAAGACATTTTTGAGCCACCTTTGGCAAAGTAGAAAGGAACGATTGGCCATCGGTGATCGGTCCTGTGGTAACAATGCTCCTTCTTCTCGAGGACTCNCCCCCCCCCCCCCCCGTCCCTCCCGCCGCCAGGGTACCAAGTTCTCGGCCTTCATGGAGGCCTTCAACGAGAAGGTCGGGATACCGCAAGAGCGGGCCAGCGAGGGCGTCTTCAAGTTCGACGGGGACAAGCTCAACCCCGATGGCACCCCGGAGGTGAGGAGTAGACGCCACCATAGCGGGGTGGTGGGTCAGGCATTCGCCGTGTAACCGGGCATCGGCGGTGGCCACAAAACCCTGCCGTTGTTTTCGTGGCAGCACGGTGGCCTGATGTTTTGTGTCCGTGTCTCGTTATTCTGCCCATTGCCGTCGTGGCAGTTTTCGTAGAAGTGCCTACGTGGTGTCTGTGTAGCGTGCGTGCTCCATTGTTTTGATGTCGAGTTTTCTTGGTGAATGCCCGCCCGGTGGGAGGAGAGGAGTGGTGAATGGCGTGTCCCAGGACCCGGCTTTGTTTTGTTGGATGCCAAATTTCAAGAGTATCCGCTCAACGGATAGTACACGCGTTCATGTATTCATTTTGCATGTCGCCCGCACTCTGTAACAAGCGTAGTCGTATCGACCTTGTTAGCCAGCCTTGGGACACAAAACGCTAATGTTTCGACGTGTAGGTGGGGCCGCGATTGTTCGCGTGTGTTTTTTTTGTTGGGGTGTGCAGTTATCTATTCATCTTTGCCGTCTGCATACCATTTACTAACGTTGCTGAAAATATACACGCGCCGGCGTTCTAACAGGGCGAAGACATGGAGTCTGAGGAGATCATCGATGCGAAGTTCCCCGCAGACCTAATGAACAGCGTCCAGGCAGCGCCAACCGAGCTGTCCTTGGGCGCGCCGAAGAAGAAGGTCCCCCGGAAGGCTCCCGGGAAGGGGAAGGCCGCCGCGACCAAGACAGCGGCGGCGTTGGCTGCGGCGGCGAAGCCGCTGGGAGGCGGAAGCGGGACAAGGTCTACGAGGGGCGGCGGTTCGGGGAGAGTAACTCGCAGCAAGAGCGGCGGCGGCGGCGGCGGCGGCGGCGGCGGCAAGGGGAAGCAGCCCGAGGTTGTTGTGCTCGACTAACAGCAGACATGGCGGGAGGTGGCTGTTGGTTGGTTTCGCGTTGCGCATGCGGTTCCGCCCAGAACACGAGTGTGTGTGTGTCTAGGAAGTCTGGAGCATGAATTTCTGGAGCAGAAGGGTCTGGTGCAGTGAGCGGCACCACAAGCGTCCGATGTATCTATGTATCAAGACGATTTCGCAACCGAGAGTTTTAACTAGGCCAGACCCGAGCAATGAGCGGGCCAGGGTCGCTGCGACGAAAAGCAAGGACGTTTCTATCAACCTACCGTGCTCCGAGCGTGTAATTCCAACCGCCGGCGGGTGCCGTGTGCGTCTTAGAACATGTCCAAGAAATGTTGTGTAGACTATTGATTGACAGTTTTGCAGGGGACACGAGCAGAGATAGGAAATGTACAGGGCTTGGGGTCATGCGCGTGCGTTGTGGCTGGCGGAAGCAGGGATCGAGCCGTGACCGTAGTGAGACCCGCTCGACATGAAGGCCGTTCTGTCGCCCGCTGGAATCTTGCTAGTCGCCACGCCAAAGAAGGCGTGACACCTAGAGTCGAAGTCGCGCGCGGAGGTCCGGCGTTTTGCGGTGTTTGGCTATGGCCAGTCTGCACTGGTACGGGGGGGTAAACCAGAATCGCTACAAAAACTTGTTTAGAACCAGGCTTGCTGTGTATCGGTGTGCAGGACGAAGGGTTGGGCTGGGGGGGCTCACAGTTGGGGAAGTTCCGCGAGGACGCACCTCAGTGACCTGCCCTACATAAAGTGTGCAGGCAATTATCGGGATTGAGGAGGGTGTGTGTGTGTTGCAGTTTAGAGTATTTTAGTCGTGCCACAGGCACGTGTACCTCCTGTCGTTGCTGTTCTTCCCAGGTTTTGTCGAACGTGCTCTCATGCTTACGCCGCGAATCGCATGCAACGCAAGCGAGCTGCCGTTTCGGCCTGGTGAGATGTAGTAGCTGCATGTTGGCATCCGTACATGTAGGTTGTGTGTTGGGCAACCCGTTTCTATGCACATGGTACGTGTTGTCTCGTGATACATCAGCACCCTGCGCGGCGAGCCGGATTCAAACTAAGCACTGGAATCTTCCGTGCTGCAGTAGGCCTGATGGACGCGGTCCGCGCACACACGAACTGGGGTTGGTGGGCGTCGGAGGCGGCACCGTTTGTATCATAAGCTTGAGGTGGGGATTTGGGTCAGAGACCATTCATGAGGCGAGAGCATTGGGCGGGACGAAAATGCTGTCCGTTTTTTTTCAACGAAAGGAATTTCTTTACTTTTTCTCTGTTGAAAGGGTGGCACCTGCTGTGCATGCTCACCTCTTTCCGTTCCGATCGTGACTTGAATGCACCCGCGAGTGTTGCGGCTTCTCTGGGGCCTCACTGCAAGGATGCCCTCTGGGGTACCTTTTGGCTGTCCGTAAACATGCATGATATCCGGTCGCATATCGAAAAACTGCTGTGCTTCAATGTTCGACAACGTAATAAACACTTGCTGCATGGATTCACTCGAAAGCAAGATGCAATATCGCCATCTCGTTACGGTTTGAGCACCTTACACACGTGACCCACACCCTCCCCCGGCTCTTCTCGTGTGTACAGCAGCTTCCAATATGTTTCGAACACTTTCCCACATCGACGCTCCTCTCGAAAAAGAACAGACCTCTTCTCAAACGCAAAAGGTTGACAATGGCGCTGCTCTGGTGCCGCTCCGACGGCCGTCAAATTATCCTCAAAGCTTAGTCACACCACCCCTTTGGTTCACGTCGAAGGGGGGGCTGACCTCAATACCAGCAGCGATGTCGGCGGCGGGCGCGGCACTCTTACGTGGAGCACCATTCTCCCGCTGCTGTCTCCCTTTCCATCTGTCGCCGCCGTCGTTACACCCTCATAGGACTCATCGTCCCCTTCGGGCCCACTCGTTGATCCTGGCGCCGACATGTCTTCTCTAGCCTCCCCCGCCTGCCCCCAATCACCATCATTACAGCTGTTGGTGCGTCTCCGTACCCTCGACCCTGCTGCTCTTCTTCTGCTGGATCTTGTTCTGGTGGCTCGAACAGCACTTTTTTTCGCTCCCGCGGGCGGCGGCAACGGCACCACCACTGGATGAACGCGACACTGCTCCTCCTCCCGGCCTCTCACGCTGTGCTTTGTTCGGGCGGCCTCTTTTAACCGCTGCTGTTGGCCCGACACTAGCAAGAGAACTCGTGGGCGGACCTCATCCGACTTCGGGGATGCGGTTGTCCCCGTCCATAGGCGACCGGAGAGGTACCCCTTTCGTGGAGGCGTCCTTGGTCGTTCTCGCGGGTGTGATAGGCTCCGCCTGCTTGCTCTCGCGGGGTTGCCCTCCGCATCCATCGTGACTTCGGCAGCAGCTTTGGGAGGGAGGACCTCCTCTCGTTCGCGAGGAGCGGTGTCTTCCCGGCAAGAGTACGGTGATGATGCTCGGTTGTAGGTCATGGCTGCAATATCACCACTTTCAGCACGTTCACGACCTGTCGAAGCTGTGGCCGAGGGTGACGCTAGTGGTGAAGATTGGGAAGGTGCGTCGAACACCGTCGAAGAAGGAGGCACAGCCGCGGCTGTTTTGCTTCTTGTCATCACGTCTCCGTCGATGCATCCTTCCGCGCCCATCATGCGAAGTCGTGGCGAGTAGCCTTCTCCTGTCTCGACGCGTATGACCCTCCTCGGACTAACATTGGTCGTGGCTGACCTGTCGTTTCTCTCATTGCTTTGCCCTCTTCTCTGCCCCTTTCCTCGCAGTGTGAAGACACATGGGGGTCCAGGCCCTCTGATTGCCAGCGCATCTGCAACACCCCTGCTAGCCTTGAGTAGGGACGGCGACCTGGCAACCAACCGAGGCGTACTCAGGTGCAGGACCGGAGAAGTATCACCTGACGCCGCAAGCGACAGAGAGGAGGAACTGAACGCTGCGGCCACGGAACTCCTGGCGGCAAGCATCACCCTTCAGCTCGCTTGTTCTCCTCTGTCAACGATCAAGAGACCGACAATAGACGACCGCGGCATGTCCAATTACAAGCCAAGTAAATAGTCGGCCTGCCCAGGCAATGGATAGTATGTATGGCCTGCCCTGGCAACTTTACCCCTTCGTACGGATTGCCTTCCTGTCTATCTAATCCCGCGTAAGGGTGGCGAAGAGAACCCTCACTCAGCACTCGCTCGCCCGTGTTGATGAAACGGAGTCGTCTCTCTGTCGCAAATTCCACCCCTTGGCTTGCTCTGTTCCAGCCCTCTCTGCTTTTCTTCTTGTTCGCTCTGGGGCTAGACAAGTACCAAGCGGGAGCATGTCTGACTGCATTCATTCATCTCTTCACATCTCCGCCCGACTTTGACCGTGGTGCTTGATGGGTTGATGTGTGGGCTCTTCATCAGCACTCTCCGCACAAAATGTAGTTGTTCGTTGGTCAAGATTTGTAGGAGCTTGTTCTCAGAAAATAAGTACACGAAACAAACCAAAAGAAAATCCGTTCAAGGATACCCCGTTCGGTTAAAGCCTTCACCGTGGGTGTTGAAGGATACCTACTTGGTATAGGGACTATGCGATGCTTTCTCACAAGCTATCAAAGACGAGGAATAACGAGGGAACGAGAGTCATCATATCATCATGCCGTCATGCCGTCATGCTCTCGAACGCGGCGTAATCGAAAATAAATACTGTCCGAATCGTAACAAACGACAGCAGTCCCGTTCGCCAGCAAACTCGCAATCACGATACCTACGACAATCAGTCTCTCGTGTCGCGACAGAGCCTCGAGTGTAACCCGGCAAATTTCATTTTTATGTTCCAGACAAATTGTGCACCACCCTGCTCCATTCGCAGCATCAGAACTCATGTGTAACGATATTTTGGGGTTCCCCAAGGGGTTCCAAGCCCCGAGGGGGGACGGAGAGGGACATACATGAGCGGGGGGGGCGGGGGGAGGGGTGCGCGTTGGCGCGCTGGGCTGACAACACAAGCAAAGAAAAACACTGCACAACACAAGCAACAACACACCCCACATCACGTCACAGCAGTACATAGTACACCATGAAGACCTCCTTGGCCTGCACCTTCACAGCAGCAACAGTGTGCGGTGTTAGCGGTTTCCATGTCCGCGCTGGAATGCCTCGTCCGACGCTGCAGGAAACGCCGCAGTACAGCTTTTGCTCCAGCGCACCCTCCAGCTCAGGAACATCAACCACCTCACCGAGACCATGGGCACAACGGCAGCGCAAGCGGCGCCCGAGAGCCGACGGATCAAGAACACAACGCGCTGCTTCGTCTCTACGCATGTTCGATGCCACTGATCTATTTCAGCTTCAGCAATGGGCTGGCGATATCTCCGCGACAGAGGTACATGTACAGCAGCAGCGTTTCCGAGTTGTACCGCAATGTCTTGCTCAATTCTTTGTACTGTAGTCTACGGACACATGAACTCGTGTGAGAGCAAACGCTGTGCGGTGATCTCGACCCGGGGATTGCTCGCCGATACTGCTGTTACATGGTATCGCCATCCAGTCCAACCAGTTATTAATAGCCTCAATCGCCCAAATCTGGCTTTGCGTAACCTGCCTCTTGAGCGTGTGATGCCACACCCCACCATGGTGAAGAGCAGTTCAACTTCTTCCACCCAACAGCAGTCTCTTCTCCCCCTCCCCCCTTTCTTCTTTCGGTCGCCCCTCCTCCGGCCCCTGTCGTCGCAGTTGACCCACGTGAGTCCCGTCACCATCGGCGTCATGTACGGAACGGGGCTCTTGATGTCGCTCAGCCCCTGCGCGCTGTCGCTGCTGCCCCTGACCATCTCGTACATAGCGGGGACGGAGGCGGAGGTAGCCGCCGAGGAGGCGGCAGAGGGCAAAGAAAAGGGAGGGTTCGATTCGCTCAAGGGAGGCTTCGTTCCGTCGGCGGCTTTCGCTGCAGGTGATCGTTGCCCGCCCAGCCCTACAGTTGGCAGACAGAGCCACAAAATAACGAGCACTTCTACGGGTGTGTGCTGTGCTGCAGGCTCTAAGGTCCCTGCCCTGGTTGTTTTGTAAGGGCGTGTATGGTTCGTTCTCTCTCTCTCTCTCTCTCTCTCTCTCTCTCTCTCTCTCTTTTCCCTCTCTCTCTCGCTCTCGCTCTTGCTCTCTTTCTCCCCCCTTTCTCTCTTGCGACAAACCCTCCAACCACCCGTCCCCTATTCTAACCGAAACCGCACAGGGTTGGCGACAGTGCTCTCCCTGCTCGGCCTCTCGGCGACGTACGCGGGCAAGGTCATGGGCAGCAGCGTCTTCGGAACCGGCCTGGGGGCGACAGTCCTGCCGCTCGCCGCATCCGCTTTCGCCGTGGCGATGGGCTTGAATGTCCTCGAGCTGGTTCAGCTCAACTTTCCGTCGTTCGAGGGGGGGCTCGACTACATGACAAGTCTTCCGAAAAATGCTCGCGCCTACCTGCTGGGTGAGTTCCGTTCCTCTCTCTTGATGTCACTGATCGAAAGCTTGAGGCTGGCCGTAGTTTGTCGCTTTGTTGTGAAAGTCAAGGAGTTCAAAAGAGACACACTTTTGCCCGTGGTCTGACTTGTGTGCCACTGTCGGAAGTGCATCGGATGAGCCTCCGCCGTTCACCCCCACAAGGTGCTCAGAACCTGTACAGCACACGCTAGGTTCATCGTTTGATTGTTTGTGTCAGCGCACCGTTGTTCGCGGGCGAACGCTTTGTGTGTACAAGTCACACATGGAGTGATTTTTCCTAAGGAAATATGTAGCTCGATACAGAAGTGACGGTCTGCAACCGGAAGGCGGAGGTCGTGATCATCCCACAGGCAAGAGGTGGTCACAAAGTTCGCAGGGACCCCCAAAAACAATACAGGACCTACCACACCTTTAGGCCTAAACCTTGGAGACAAGCACCACAAGGTGGCAAAGCTTGTCCGGGAAACCCCATTGCTCGTCGATGGGTCGGTTCGTGATCCATCGACGCCAGTCCTGGGATGCCAGCCCATATGCTGAGCTTTGACGCATGCAGGCCACTCTGCGTTTAGCTTAGATCCTTCATCTTATGTATTTATCAGACCCCAAACATGAACTGCGGCATTACTACAGCCTCACGATCGTCACTGGGTGCCACACATAGGATGGCAAGATCTCCGAGCGACTGGATATGTACCCACGAACGCCCGATTCCACTACACTCGAGCGAGCCGGGGTCATCGAGAGCTTTATTAAAAATTGCTCGAGACTATACCTAGCGTCTTCCTTGGTTGAGGGCTGAAACGCGTTCGCGTCTGTGCCGGGTACATTTTGTTACGCGACCTACTAAATTTTACTCTAACACGAAGCACCCGTCTCGTGCCCCCCCCCACCCGCCCACCCCCTGGCCACGCAACAACAACCCAGGCGCGTCGTCCGCCCTCGTGGCGTCCCCGTGCTGCACCCCCGTGCTCGCGTCCATCCTCGGTTTCATCGCGACCTCTCAGGACCCGGCCCTGGGCCTGGTCCTCCTGCTCACCTACTCGGCCGGGTACACGACGCCGCTCATGGCCGCGGGGACCGCCTCTGGCGTCCTGTCGCGGCTGATGTCGGCCAAGGGGCTCAATTGGATAACGCCGGCGAGCGGGGCCCTCCTGATCTCGTACGGTACGTACAACGGCCTCGCCGCTATCTTTGGGTCGGCGTAAGAATTTGCGAGGTTTCTTTGTTGTTGCTTGCAAATGTAGACGGCATCACACATGGAGGATTTGTTCGCTTGGTGGGACTTCTCGCCGCTATCTTGAGGCGCGGTGAAATAGAAACACGCGTGTTTTTGTTTTTCCCGGGACGACACGTGTACCATGCTGAACTTTGGGGCCGGGGGTTGAGATGCATACTGACTTCGATTGGTCGGCTGTGATCGTTCTGTAACGGGGAAGAAGATTAATTATAGTGTGGCGATCGAGGGTATGGTGACTTAAGGAGTACCAACGAGAGAACGGCGACCCACCCGCTCGTTTTCACGGCGGGTTTCGTGAACATACCATACATCTCCGGAATCTACCGTGCCGCCCTCACCCGCCTCCAGAATACCGCGCGCCGTGAGGATATATTAGAAGGCTCTTCGATGTTGTGCTTCATCGGAGTGTCGTCTCTGCTAACACCTACGGGCTGTCTTCGTCTCTGGATGAGCGTATGTCGGGGACAACATGGATGTATACTGGTGTGGTCTATAAGGGCTTCCCGCCGCGTGGTGGATACCTCCGGCCGAACAGGGGATAGAGGGTGGGCGTTGTCGGATTGTTCTTTCGGCAGACAGGGGCTAGATTGGGCTGTTTTCGCTTTGCGCAAGAGGGCAGCTGGCTGATCCATTTGCATGGTGCATAGATGTGAAAGTGTATTTATTGTTGCGTTTGTCTCTTCCGTGTTCCGAGGAGTAACTAGACGGGGTTGCAGAATAGAAGCCCAAAACAGGTGGACGCATCAGTCCCTGAAGGTTGCATGTGGAGTGCCATTGGGTGTGCCTGTGGGGATGCTTTACAAACTAGAAAAACACCATCTATATGTGGTACAGATACCTGGGAACGGGGAAGAACGGGGAAAAACTCGTACAATTTTTTCTTATTGTACTGCTGTAGCAAGTACGGCTTGATTTCGTGCGCGATCGTGGCGGAAACTCCACAGGGGGTCACCGACCTGAAAGAAAGATCACCACATGTGCCGCAATTCCGTCGATAAGCAGACGGGCGTCTTACCCTTGCCTACACTAAGCCGGCATGATTGGTCACGAGCGCCAACGGTTTTGTATCATATTTATCTAGGAAGGTGTGAGACACGAAAATGCGACATTTATTCGATCGACGTTTTTTCATCTCCAAGTGCTTACAACAACAACACATACGGCGAGATGGCTGCATCCTGTGATTGGTCGTCTCTAGGGCAGTGCGGTTATGGTGAGCCGTCCACATGGGCATACAATGTGTAGGGCCCGCGCGTTTGCGGAAAGCACCCCGGTGTACTCGAACGTCTTGCTCGAAAGACATAAACATCGACGCGGTGATGTTTCGCTGGTACGAAGCGATCCCCCAGGAGAATCCCTGTGTTCTTCGGCGGGCATCTGTAGTTCTTGCACTTGGGCCGCCTGTTTGCCCAAACGAGAATATCCACGATTGTCCGAGACGCGGGGCAGACGATTTGGGCCCTAAAGTTGCTGTGGTTCCGACGCAGCCCCCCCCTGTAGATTACATCCCTCGCCCTATGTTCATACATGGCCTCGGACCGACCGATCAGAAACCTCTTCCAAACCAAGCCCATATCTTGAAAGACCATTCCCGCCCACTCCACAAATGTTGCACACCACACTTCTCACTAGTGTAACGCCTAAAACAGAAAGAGCGAATATAATACCACTGGTACACTCGAAGTCACGTATATTCCTAGATACGACTCTTACCCAGTCCACCCCTCGGGCGCGCGTGCGCGCTCTCCCTGCACTAATCACGCACAAGGGCGAGCGCGGCTACGTGCTGGCCGCTGAATCCTTGGCGGCCTCGTAGTGCTTGAGGATGAGTGCCTTGATCTCCCCCACCCCGACGCCCTTCTTGACCTGCGCGAAGATAGTGTCTCCTTCCCCTCGCATCACCTTCGCCTCGCGCCGCATGACCTAAGGAAAGTCACGACGAACAAGATACGCCAAGTACAGTGTAGATGCCGACGGGGGTAAAGGGAGAGAGGAGAGGGGGCTCCCTTATGGCAGAGATCCCCGGGACTTGAAAAACAAAAAAAACGTGGCGTCTGTTGATTCGCTTCACAGACGTGTGAACAACAATAAAAGTCCTAAAACGTCAGGTTTTTTGGAAGTGAGAGACGTGAATGGCGCCTACCGCGCAGACGGCAAACTCGCGCCCCATTTGCTAACACCAAACGCTTGATAGGTTCTCAGATGAAGAACGCTAAACGCCACAATTGTCGACGTTTCTAAACTAGAAACTCGGCTCCTTGCTGTCTTTCGACGTTTCTAAACGAAACCGACGCTAAACATGGCTAATATCTGTATTTCGTTCAAGGTCAACAAACAAACTTTGGTCGCTTCATCCCACACCTCCAAATCCGCGCCTACGGCCTCGGCTAGGTCGGTCTTGTTGATGACAAGCAGGTCGGACTGGGTGATGCCCGGCCCGCCCTTTCTGGGCACCTTGTCCCCCCCGGCGACGTCGATAACGTAGATAATATAGTCCGCCAGCTCCCGGCTGTAGTTCGCGGCGAGGTTGTCTGACGACAGCAACGAACGGAGATGGTTGTAACGGGAGGCTCACAACAACAAAAAGTATTCATCTCAAAAGGCAGACCTAAAAGATAGGTTATGGGCAGTGCTGTACAGCGTCGCGAGAAAATATCATGGAATGATCGGAACGGGGTCTAGAAAATACGGATCTAGCCTGCTGGATAACGTACCCCCCCCCGACTCGACGAGGATGATGTCGGTCTCATGCCTGGCGGTCAGCGTTTCGCATGCCCCGAGGTTGGCGCTGATGTCTTCTCGGATGGCCGCGTGGGGGCACCCTCCAGTCTCGATAGCGAGAATCCTGTTGCAATTATGAATAGCACGGCCGATGAAATAGAGAAGGACGAGAAAGAGAATCGGCAACCATACAAAAGTAGTGAACGAATCACGGTAAAAGTCGTAGCAGCTACAGCGGCGGCGCCCGCAGCAGGAGCTGCAACAGCAACAGTATTCAAATCGTAGCCGTGCGGATAACAGTACTCATAGCAGCAGAACATGTCAGAAAAACACAGACTCCAGATCCCCGTGCTCTCGGGCCCGTGTGTCTCGCCGGTCCCAAAGAGAAAATGGAAGTTGACCATATGTTGAACATACTGAAAACTGACAACACCCTCACGCCCCGGGGACTCCCGAAGTATCTGACTCCGAGATGGACCACCTGCCACATCGTTCTCGTTCAAATACAGGTCCTCAGTTAAATGGGACCGAGGTTTGGGGGGGAAACCGGCGTCACGACGACCAAAACTCGTTCCCGAAAACCGCCTAAATCTTTGCGAAGTAGGCGAAAAGTTCCAAGCAAAGAAAACGAACACCATGTTGTATACTTACTTCCTCCCTGTCTTCGAAGCTGCGGGAAAATGTCAGGCTGAGTATGTTGGGCATTCGTTCGTGCTGATTGGCTCACCTCCCCTCCTCAAGGGCGGAGTTTTTCGTCAGGAACTCGGCGTCCTCGCGAGTGAAGATGTCGTTTGTCACCTTAAGAAAGGGGCGTTGATGGGTCGATTTTTCCGACGACACGCACGGCGAAAGACGGGGCAACGATCAAGACCAGTCAAGCATCAGGGTTCCTCTCGCCTCCGCCAGCCGCGGTTAGTTGGGAGACAAAACACCCAAGGCGTGCGTCCTACGTGGCCGAACATGTAGCGCTGGCAACAGGTCGGCGGCTTTCTTGCAGATTACGCATCCGCCCACATCACTGAACGGGGCTGCAAAAATATTTAACATCCAAAGAAAATGGGAGCGACAGCCAGGACTCTTGACTGCGCAAAGAGAGCTTGTGGGCTGGGCACAGGACACGCCATGAAAAATATATAGAACGGGTAGCCTTCCAGCGGTTGTATGCATATGTAGATTAAAAAAAGATATGCCTTGCTACATGCATGTACGTAGTCGGCGGCACTCACCGCCCCTATGCTCAACTCGTCGCGAAGCAGCTTGCACAGCTCCAGCATCAGCGCAGTCTTCCTGTACGTGCATCGGGCAGCGTCGCACCGAAGCGGTGTCCGCCAAGAGTTACTGTGTGGAATTCATGTTTCGCGAGACTATCTGCAACTCGTGAAACGAAGTTGGACGCTGGGGAGCGGGTGATGAAGACAAGAGAGGCAGGGAATGCATGCGTTGAGAGTTTTCGGGCGAGATGTACATCCGGAAAATATTGCCTCGCCGTTGCCGTAACATGTGCCGCAAAGCAATGCCAGACCGGCACCGATCAGGCGAGAACCAATTCGCCAGCGCATTTGGTTCTCAGCAAGCTTACAATAGTGCAGATGTGACGACGCTGCCATGCGCAGCATCTAGAAGCAACGTTGCTCACCCGCTTCCCACCGGTCCGCCGATGCCCACGGTATAAGAACGCTCTGCGAGAGCGCGGTCGGGCTGGGGGGGCTCACGGTCAGCGAAGAAGCCCGGGTGGTCCATGTGTTCGTGAGTGTGGCCGTGTTCTGCGAAGGTCGGGTTCTGTTCGGCAGCGGAGGTGGGGAATTGGTAACCCGACGAAGGCAAAAGCGAGTGCGTCGTTGACGAGAGGGAAGGGGAAGAGGAAACCAGAGAGATCTCGTGGCACACATCAGCCGAGGCGCGTGAACCACGCTTTGACGGCGCAGCGAGGACCAAATGCAACCAGTTACCAGTTCTACAGCAACAACGCCTCCTTCTGCTGTTTCCCTGAGACACTCAGCAGTGTTCGACATGCACGTCGAACCTGCGAATCTGCTGGATGTTCTTCTTTTCCGTGTCCACCTCCGTGAGTATGGCTGTGGCCATGACCGTAGTCGTCGTCGTGGCCATGGCCGTGATCGTGAGAGTGGCTCTCAGATGCCATGGCTGTAAAACAGGGGTGCGCAGCAGTTGTGTAGCAGCAGTAGAGCCAGCAGCCAGCAGACAGCAGGGCGACAAATGCGGTGGAACTTGGGGAAGCGGCGAGATTCCCAGCCTGCAGGCGGCCTATTTTTTGTCGAGCTGTCGGCTGTCGAGCTGTACGTGTCACGTGTCACACACACATCATCAGCGAGGAAGACAGAGCTACTCCTACGATTAGAGACACAGGTAGGTTCGCAGGTGTAGTCTGGTGGCAATTGACAGACGAATCCGCGTCGACCTCTCTCCTTAGCGTCCATCGTGGGGGTCTCTCTTGTACCTCCTGTAGACTAGCTGTCTGCTCGCCGATATTCATCATCTCTCATCTACACGTACGGTATGTACCTCTCTCGTTGAACGCAGCAGATACACAAGAACACCAGCTTTTCGACCGAGTTATGACTTCCAGACGACGAGAGTCGACCGGTGGTGGAGGCGTGCACATGCGGCCTTGCGCTGGGTTCACCAAGTTTCCTGCCAGCAGGTACGAAAAATCAACTGGTCTCCGAGTTATGTTGCTCCCCCCGCCCACTGAAGAGACCCACGTTGGGTGATGTCATCGCCGCTACCCACGGCCCGCACGAACCTCCGACAGCGCGATATACACGAAACCATGGGTGCCGCCCGCCACACCCGGTGCGCCAACAGCAGGTCGAGCGCAAGGCCGATACGATTAACACCCACGGGTTGTGGTAAGTTGTCGCAGGCCACGCCAACAACCCCTTTTTTTTTGGGTTGAGACCTGGACTAATAGGCTACATCGCGGCGAATTAAAGAACGTCATCGCGATCCGCCTGCCATTATATCGCCCGCGGCCCATTACAGGTTTGGCAACACCAGGCGCGTCTGGCCTCCGCCCCAAGTGCAAATCGCCCACCCGAGTCTCGGCGTGGCCACCCTCGTTAACGGGGCGAGGTTCCGCGCCCGCGCCGGCCTGGGCGACTTCATAAAGCGCGCCGGGGCCGGCGGCGGCGGCGATGGGAGCAAGGGCGGCGACGACGACGACGACGAGGTGACGAAGCTCATCGATAAGTACGGGGATCGCATCGGTGAAGTCGGGTTCGGCGGGGTCGTCGGGTTTTGCTCCGGGTGAGTTGTGTCGAGGGCACCAAATAAAAGACAAACAATGCACGGATGATGTTCGTTTTTATTGCCCGCGAAGACGAGGGGAAGGGATTTGTTATTGTGTTCGAAGTGTTTCTTCCCAGAGAGCCTAGGGTGTCGCGGAGTTGGTGTTGTTGTAGCCACAAACTGGACGTTTTCATGTTCGTGTGTACACGCTTACTCTATGTAGGAAGGATGGGAGGATGATTTTCTACTGGTGATATTCTACTGGTGTAGCGCCTCGAAAAAATAAATCTCCCCTTCGCGAAACTACAGCTGCTGTTGTACTGCTGTGTTGACCACGACGTCGTTTCTGTGGTACGTGCGCAGAGAGCAGGCAAGCACCTATCGATCTGTGTTCACTTTCGATCATGGGGTCTTTGTTGTCTCCTCTTGATGCTGTCTTTGCAGTCATGTCGAAACGTCACCACCTACAGCAGTAGTATGCATAGCATCTCGCCAGTATATGATGTACCCAAGCTAAACATCATACTTCCTCTGTCACATAAGTAAAGTCCGTTATGGGGGAATTTACATACCCACCAGCCAAGGTGTTCCTGAAGCTATAGTTAGGTTTGTTGAAAAGCGCTTGTTACGCACATAACTTAAAAAAAAAAAATCCGACTCACCATTACTGAGAATTAGTGTGTCAAATACGGGACTTTTTTGCGAATATTTCGGGAATATTTTGAAAACATTTTGAGAATATTTTAAAGAATATTTGCAGCTTTGTGCTGTGTGAGCACCCACTACCACCACAACGACGTATAGGGGGAGGCGACATGGGTCGTTGAGTACAAGGGGGGGGTAGGGTTAGGACCCTACGCCTGTCGGCTTTGCCCCGCAAGCAACTTGATTTTAGTGTGGCGCCCCCAAGTGTCTTGGTTTTAGTGTGGGCCTCGAAAATGTCTTGATTTTAGTGTGGGCTCACTACTATGTTGGTTTTTGTATGGGAGGACGCGAAATGGATCGTTCAGTAGAGGTAACCTTGGGTTTAGGGTTCGGGGTAATTCTTTTTTTTTTTTGTATGTTTCGTTTCGTGCCCCCACCCCCACCCTCATGGAAAGGGGCAAAATACGGCCTTTTTTGGCCTGACTACTTTTTTTTAAGCCGCTAGTTGCATGCAGGGTAGTGCGCAAGAAAAAAAAAGAAATATGGGTTTCAACCCGGAAAACGCTAAAGATTTCAAAAAAAGTATCGCCGAAGACATCGGACACGGCTAAATGGCCGTGTAATCATAACGGACTTTACTTATGTGACAGAGGAAGTACGTAAGCTACATCGTTTCTTGNGTATGTTTCGTTTCGTGCCCCCACCCCCACCCTCATGGAAAGGGGCAAAATACGGCCTTTTTTGGCCTGACTACTTTTTTTTAAGCCGCTAGTTGCATGCAGGGTAGTGCGCAAGAAAAAAAAAGAAATATGGGTTTCAACCCGGAAAACGCTAAAGATTTCAAAAAAAGTATCGCCGAAGACATCGGACACGGCTAAATGGCCGTGTAATCATAACGGACTTTACTTATGTGACAGAGGAAGTAGATGCATATCAACAAGCAACCGGCGTCGTCGTACAAGCAAGCACGGCCGGCAGTATGAGTGCTGATTGGAGCAGCAAACATGTAGAGGGAGGTCGTGCTGCAACGAAAGTCGCGCTTGTAATGCATGCAGAGACCCCCTACTACTGTGGTAGATTTAGACTCCTAACGGCAAAACTGAGCGTCTCTCGCTTTCACTCATCTGCGCAGCCGTACCACGCCTCCAACGCCACATGAGATTCGCGCTTGCTTGTGGTGCGTGTAAATGTGCGATGAGAGGAACATGCCTACTTCTACGGCTGTACGATGTCCGCGGAATCCCAACGTAGGGCAACAAAGAAGCCCAAGTCTATCTATTTTCTCTCTTTGAGCAGCAGCAGTCCTTCCATCCACACCACCAACAAAAACAACCAACAACAGCTGGGAGAGAGAATAGTAAATAGCAATGATGTTCTGCGGTGAGTGGAATGCACACAGCTTCTGGCAATCATTATCAGAAGTTGCTTCTTTTCGGCGGCTGCAAGCTGTTTTTTTTGCCGCTGCAGCAGCACAGCAGCGGCCGCAGCAGCGCGGGCATGTTGCCTCCATGTCCCATAAGCCCCTCCTCCTCTGTGAACTGCGTCCTGTGGGCTGTGTGGGCTGTGCAGGCTGTATGTTGTCGAGGCAAGTTATTTGTATGTTTGGGGTGCCCCTTTTCAAAATGTGTCGCCAAATACCGACGACATGCCTTGGTCCCCTCTATTTTCCCCTACATTTCCTAGATCTGTTTTTTCACCAAATACCGGCGAAGGTAGGGTCCATCAAGAAATATTGGCCTTTACTTGCCAGGACGGTTTTGTGTTCCGTAGATGAAGGGACCTAATGTGGTACCTGCCGTGGTAGACTTAAATGAGTCGACGGTGCCCCGATGCTGCGTCATCCTGTGTGGGGCGCTCTCATCCCTGTCTGTCTGTCCTGCCTTCGTCCTGTGGGTCTAACACAAGCCATCAACGAGACTCTCTAGCCACAAATACGGGCATGCCCCGCCGGTATACAGCTCTGGCTCTGGGAGTTCTCAGCACTCAAAGAGTTTTCTTCATCTTCCTTGCAAGGAAAGAAGCCCGTGCCAGCAACGATGTCGGGAGGAGTGTCAGAGGAGGAGCTCGCTGCTACACCTGGACAAGCTGACCAGAGGTTGACAGCACGCCTTGGGAAACAGCAGACCAGGGCTGAGGAGAGGATGGACCACAGCTGCTTCCCTCGAGCTCCTCCTCAGAGACTCCTCCCGACGTCGCTGCTGGCACGGGCTTCTTTCCAAGGAAGATGAAGAAAAATGTTGAGTGCTGGGAACTGCTAGATAGAGCCGGGGCTGTGTACCGGCCGGGCATGCCCGTATTCGTGACATGAAGCGAAGTCTAATAGAGTGCTGGTAACACCCGGAGCCGGAGCTGTGCGCCGGATGTGCTGGTTTTTGCCACAGTGACTACAGAGTGTCATTGATGGCGAGACTCTTGAGCCACTGTGATAAAACCCAGCACATCCGGCACACAGCTCCCGCTCTAGGAGTTACCAACTCTTCACGTGGTATGGGAACCGGTTGAAGCGCAGGGAGGGGTGTTAAGCAGTAGTGCATTGCCATGACGTTGTCCTCCCAAATCGTACCAAAACTTAAAAATCGACAATCAATCGAGCTTATGGTGTCAACCGCGGGCTTCAGTTCTATGGTAGCCCTTATCCAAGAACTAGAATATATCGAAAACGACCGTGTGACTTGCGGGGTCCCATCTTGAAACTCCATTCCGGTAGAGGACATCGTTGAGGAGCGTCATGCGCATTGGCTCTATCCGAATATGGTGCTAGGGACGTGCTGTGGAACGCCTCTGATGCTGTCTGGTCCGAACAATCCGCAAATTCGGCTCCACACCATTCACAACCCACTGCTGCACGAACCCGATCCTCCGGGCTGCTGGTCTGCAGCAGTAGTAGCTCCCACCAATATTGGGATGAGCCGAGCTGGGGGTAGCTTGTCGCCAGACGTGTGTTGAATAGGGTGACGGCAACTCGGCGTGTGCTCGCGCCACAAGGAGGAAAAACTTGTTGTGATGAGCTTCCACGCACACATACATAAACGCGCACGCTCCGATGTGGGGGCGACGCAATATACAACAGCGGTACCTTGCACACCCTGGAAATCCATTTCACGAATACACCACACCATAATACGGTATTCCGCTCAACCTCATTCACATGGGCATTCCTTACCGTCCACTTGGCATTGCGACAAGTATATCAATCAACCACTACAAGCCGTGGCTGCCTTGGTCGACTCGTAGTTCGGGGAATGGGGTCTGAGACGGCGCGCAAAACCCACGGTGATAGTGGATCTTTGTAATGTGGACCCAATGCGCTTTTTGGACCGCAGATAGACGCAGCCTTCGACGGAACGGCCAAATCGACGGATCTGGGCCTAGCCATCGCGCGTGCATGTCGCTGCGCTCCATGAACTCCCTTGCTGGTGTAGATGTCCAAGTCGGGCCTCCGCAACGCATCTGCCTTATTTAAGCACCGGCCGTTTCACCTGCTTTGTCTTGAATAAAGGGTTGTGGATTAGCCATCTTGATTTGACAGGCATGTGGAGATCGACTACGTGCTATGCTGTCAAGTCCCAACGGCTGCTCTTTGCAACAACCTATGTTTTTTGTTTTGTTCAACACCTTTTTGACTGGCGTACGTATCTCATCGTGTGTGATTGCTGGGTCGTCCTCCGTCATTTTTGGATTCCGCCAAATGAAGATCGATTGGCAAGAACCCCCTACAAACACGTTAATGTTTTGTATTTGTATTGCCTATATTTCGTCGAAGATTCTGCGGTTGAGGAGGCGCCAAAGAGCTTCAACGGCAGACGCCAACTACAAGATGGTTTCAAACCATCTTGTACTTGGCGTCTAACTTTGAAGCTCTTCGCCGCCTTCTCAGCCGCAAAGTCTCGGCAAGAGATAGGCACACCAAATAAGTACATGTGTGTGCATTAAATTTACTACGAAATCTTTGTTGAACTTTAACTGAGCGTACAACAGATAAAGCAATCAGCCTTGAATTGGTTTTGGCGGGGGGGGGGCTGCATCTTCCGCAAAACAAAGATGCGGTCGAAACATGACGGCTGTTTTGAGGCGTCCCTGCTGTTTCGTTGATGGCTGGGTCAACCTCTGACGTGTCTGCTCGTGACGCTCGCGCTGAAACCCAGGTACGCCATGATGAAGGTCGGCAAGGCCATCGCTTTCGTCATCGGAGTCGGCTTCATTGTCGTTCAGGTATGCTGAACTGCTGAGCATGCAAGCATGTCATCTGTACATGCAAGCATGTCATCTGCACATGCAAGCATGTCATCTGCGCATGCAAGCATGTCATCTGCACATGCAAGCATGCCATCAGTACATGCAAGTGCATACTCAAGACAGAGGTAGACGAAAATCGCCACAGCGGGGAGTAACCCATGGGTAGCTGTTGTGTCGTTGCTCGTACTGCTGCCGTCCCTCGGTGCGTTTTTCGCCAAACGAGCGTGGACGGTTTTCCCTTTTTGCGGTCATCAGCCAGTCGCCTTTTGCGCTCGAAGGGGAAAGGAAGCCCGAGCAAGAATTCAACCTTCCCAACTCCATTCATGGGGGAGATCATCGCGATTCCGAAACAAATACCACTGAAATAACGTTTCCGCGCATTCCTCTCACCATTTTGCTCATATGCCAGCGACAGCTTGCAACAAGTTCTGTCTGGGCGCAAGACGAAACGTCTGTTCGTGGTGCGCCTAGATACAAAATCGGATGCTATCGGTTTTACAAAATAGCAAGGACGTACCGTAAGGATGCGAGAGAACCCACGGGAGTGCGATCGATTTTCAAAGCGTAGTTTCTCCACAACCGGGCGGTACCACTGTCGAAAAGGGTGGTCTTGGAGGTATCTCATCGAGAGCTTGCCTGAGATGTATCAGTTGGGGAGCGCCAACTCGCCAACTGATACCTCGCAGGCAAGCTCTCGAAAAGGGTGGTCTTGGAGGTATCTCATCGAGAGCTTGCCTGCGAGGTATCAGTTGGCGAGTTGGCGCTCCCCAACTGATACATCTCAGGCAAGCTCTCGATGAGATACCTCCAAGACCACCCTTTTCGACAGTGGTACCCTCCCGGTTGTGGAGAAACTACGCTTTGAAAATCGATCGCACCCCCGTGGGTTCTCTCCCATCCTAACGTTATTATAGCAATGTACAACTGAGCATTTTCCCTGACGACTCTCCCCGTTTGTTCGGTCGGACAATTGGCGAACAACAAACCAACACCTTAACCTTAACAGGGTGTCAACTACTCGGGGGTGGTGACCATCAAGTGGGAGAAGGCGGAGGTGAAGGTGAAGAGCCTGTTCGACAGCAACAAGGACGGCAAGGTGGACAAGGAAGACGCCAAGGCCCTCTGGAAACGTCTCAAGGCGGCTCTAACGCACAACCTCCCGGCAGGCGGCGGCTTCACGGGCGGGTTCGCGCTCGGCCTGTGCTGCGGCTAAGCGTCAAGGGATTGATTTGGTCGAATTTGCCGATCAGTGCTTGTTGGTTTGCGCCAATAGCGATACAACAAACAAGACAGGGTTTTGGAGGGTATTGCCCCCGCCCCTCCGCCGCGCCCCCAACAACAGAAACATCAACACCGAGTTTCACCTCTGATGTATCGTTGCCAAGTACCACGGCAGTAAACAGCAGTGCGTCTTGGTACGCGCCTTTGCGTTGTTGAGTTTTCGCCGAAGCGAAGCAAGTTTTGACCTGTCAGCCCACATTGTCGAACATGCACCTGTGTGGATGCTGCGCGATGTCAGAGCAAGAGCAAATGTAAGTAAGTTCGTGACGCCACATGCCTGAATAGGTTGTTGGTGCTGTACTCGATTGTTGCGGGGGAAAGGGGTTGCCTTTTTCTGTGTATGCCCGGGTTGTGTGCGAGATCAACTCATATTGGTTTTGATAAGGCATTGTTGGCCCACACCGCACGTGTGTGTTCGCTTTTCTCTCCGCGCGCTTTCCCCGTTTTTTCGCGACAGTTCGCGACAAAGGAATCGCGCAAGACTAAGGGGTTTTCTCCGTGACTATCATCACAGTAGAATGCTGGTCTTCGTAGGTTTGGACGCTCCCGCTGCGTAAACTAAAGCGACGGGAGTGAGTAGTTGGTGTTTTATTTTTTTCGTAGGCAAATGGCCTTGCCTGGCTAGGGGGGTAGGGCACCATAGTTAGGCTTCCTTTATGTGTAGAGATTCCCCTCCTTTTGGAAGTTTCATTTTCGTGGCGCCGATCCAGGCTTGTTTCTAAAGGAATTCACATTTATTGTAGTGCTCCGCCGGCGGTCACCTAATAATCTCGACGCTGATTCCACAAGGTTTACCTGTCAACTCTTCCGAAGTCCGTCGAGCACACAAATCCCTGGGGGGTTGTGTAAAGCAACGATATGGAGTGCCGCGTACAGAGACGAATACGCTGCAGCATCTCCGCGAAAATGCGCAAATTGGTAAGTATTTTGGCCTTTCCAATAGTTTCTCAGCACTCTTTCCACCCCATCAATCTGAACCTTGATTGTAGGTCATCGCCATAAAATCTGTTGGCTTGCCTTGAAAACTATGGAGGTGATATACTAGTGGACAGAGGCTACAAGGCACAACAGCCAACAACGACGAGAATACCAAGTGTATACAAAGGTGAGAGACCTTGAGTCTCCAAACAACCAAGCAACACGACCAACAGCCGTCATATGAATCCAGGAATCAACTACGGCACTCAAAAGTGTTTCACAAATTCTACGCGGCGTTACATAAGACTCATCCGCACCACGAGGAAAATGAAGCACACTTTCCCCCGTAGCTCACGACAAAGTGAACCCACTATCGCCAACATCCATAGAAGTTACAGAGATACAGCAGTATACACAATCATGGGAGCACACACGGATAATTTTTGTCCGGAAGAAGAATCGCGGGACCCCGTCCCTCATTCAAATCGTCGACAAAAAAACACGCAAAATAAGGCCCTGTTGACCCCCCGCCGCCAGCCTCGTCACGACTCGTCCTCGTCTCGTCGATTCGCCGCCGCCTGCACCATTTGCACGGTCTGCTTAAACGTCACCCCGGCCAGGATGCCGAGCTTCTGGCGCCGGGGCACCGCCGCCTCCCAAAGCCACAGCAGCATAATAACACCCAGGAACGCCCCCATGGCGAACCCGAACATAAAGTCCCGCGTGCCCCCCGACCCGGCGTCGTCGAAACCGTCGAGCCCCGTCAGCGTGCCCCCCGGCCCGGTCGTCCGACGCGCCATGCTAACGTTCAGGGCGAACTCGGACGTTGCGGGCTGCGCGCGCATCCAGAGCTCCTCGGATTCCACCTGTCGATCCCAGTCTGTCGCTCCTTCTCGGTCGGAGGCAGGGAGGGTCGCCGCAAACTGGCGGTTCGGGGGGGAGGGAGGGGGGGGGCGCAATGGTAGCTCGGCGAGAGATACACTGTTTCCGGTCAAGGGAAGACATGAGTGTGGCTCGGTAAATTGTGTATGAAGCGGGGGCTGCAACCAGCGAGATGCGACGTAGGAGACTTTCACGTTGGAGACGATCACGGGGACCCGCAAAAAGCGGGGAACGGCTGCGGCAACCTGTTCGACCATACTGCATTCCCGGAAAAAGTGGCAGGACTCGATAATGATACTCCTCGTTTCCTGAAAGACAACAACTTAGGCGAGTACTCGAGGGTGCAACAGCTGGTCGTTTCCAAAGCGGAACTCAAACTACATCAACACTGCGCGAAGGTCCCCCTCTTGCCCCCCCCCGCCTCTTCCATAATTTCCGCTTCGACAAGCCCCCCTCTCCTTTGAACGCTGTCCCCGGCCGGACTCACCTCCCGTACTTGCGCACTGAAGTAACCTCTGATGGCGGTGACCTCTCCTCTGGTCATGCCGTTATTCCTCAGCGCGTCGAAGCCCCTTCGGGTCGCCGGGTCGTCATCCTCCACCTCCTGCCGCGCACGTGAAAAAATGCAACACGGGCACGACGATATGTACCGCCGTGGTTGGGTCATTCTACTTGGGAAAAAAAAAATGCCTTCGCATGCACATTCGCCGAAGCTTGATAGTTCCGTGTCTTGTGTAGGCCATACCTCGGTCTCGCTTTCCAGCCGTCTTTCCGCCTGCCCTCGCAAGTCTCTTCTGTATCGTCCACCTCTACACTTGTCCAAAGAACCGTAAAATCTTCCCGTACGATTGTCGAATCGTGTCTGATGTATCCTCAAACATGCCGATAAAATACTGGCGTCAAAACGCCCGCGGCGACGCACAAGGCTTAGACTTGACGGCCCCCCATCCCTGCCTGTGTCTGATCTCCAAAAGGATACGCCACGCAGGTGTATGCAGCAGGAGGTGCACAACAAGAGGTGTCTTTCCTTCCCCCCGGTCAGCAAGAGCACTTCAGAGGTTTCTAATTCGACGGTCCCGTCGTACGCCAGGGAGCGGGGAAACCAGTGGTACGGTAAAACCGCACCAGAGCGCGAACATCCCTTCCAAACCTGGGCCAGAGCCCCAATACACCTCCAGGATTTCCACTCGCCTCTTCCGCGGCTTGTTCCGGGGTCAGGGAGGGCAGCCGAAGCCTGGGCGGGGCGGCCGTGATGACACAGTGCACGTAGCAGTTCTCCGTGAGGCCGAAGTCCTTGATGAGGGCCTCGTCCGGGTTGAGCATCTTGCCCGCCGCGATGAGACGCAGGTACTTTCCTTCGGCGCCCACGACTCTCGACACCTCCGCCTTGAACTAATATTTGTATCATACAATTGTCGGTGTTGTTGTTTTGAAGAACGAAAGGGTTGGGGGGGGG